GATAGATAGATAGATAGATAGATAGATAGATAGATAGATAGATAGATAGATAGATAGATAGATAGATAGATAGATAGATAGATAGATAGATAGATAGATAGATAGATAGATAGATAGATAGATAGATAGATAGATAGATAGATAGATAGATAGATAGATAGATAGATAGATAGATAGATAGATAGATAGATAGATAGATAGATAGATAGATAGATAGATAGATAGATAGATAGATAGATAGATAGATAGATAGATAGATAGATAGATAGATAGATAGATAGATAGATAGATAGATAGATAGATAGATAGATAGATAGATAGATAGATAGATAGATAGATAGATAGATAGATAGATAGATAGATAGATAGATAGATAGATAGATAGATAGATAGATAGATAGATAGATAGATAGATAGATAGATAGATAGATAGATAGATAGATAGATAGATAGATAGATAGATAGATAGATAGATAGATATATAGATAGATAGATAGATATATAGATAGATAGATAGATAGATAGATAGATAGATAGATAGATAGATAGATAGATAGATAGATAGATAGATAGATAGATAGATAGATAGATAGATAGATAGATAGATAGATAGATAGATAGATAGATAGGTAGATAGATAGATAGATAGATAGATAGATAGATAGATAGATAGATAGATAGATAGATAGATAGATAGATAGATAGATAGATAGATAGATAGATAGATTTTAAAGAATTTTAGATTCCCAAGGAGAATGATAGAATTTTAATATATCTTTGCTTCCAACTATTTCCCCAGGTCTAAGAAAAACACGTGCAATCAAAAGAGACCCCATTCAACTACGCCCCTTTTGATTTCGCTACATTCGTATTTGTATTTTGTTTATAACCGGCTTTTGTTATTGTATTTGTTGTATGTTATCTCAATTTCTACATTTCATATAATTCATGAATATTTTTTTCAGTTTCGTTTTCTTTCCATTACGTTTTAGTTAAAGTTCATTTTGTACAACAAATACAACCAACACACCCATTAAATAAAGAAATATACAACATTTCTGTATTTGTTTATATCCGTGTGTTTGGGTTGCTTTTCGAAAAGTGTCTGAAAAAGTTCTTTTTGATTTGCATTTTTTTATTGTCGTACAATTTGCTGGTACTTTTTTGGGCGTAATTTAGTATTCGTTGTGTTAATCAAAGTACTTTTCAAGGGATTATTAGTTAAATTACTTTATTCATATTTCTAATGTCCAAATCGGTGTAAACATACTTTACTTCTTCCGGTCAACTTAATCTTTACTCCACTAATATGAGAACGAATACAGAATAAAACTCCCATGTATGGGCCGGTGCTTTAAAGTATTTTTCGGAACTAATTGACCGCCCATAGGAGAGGGCGGTCAATTTTTCACAACTAATTGACCGCCCATAGGAGAGGGATTATCGGAGAAAGTAGGGTACCTAACTCTATAAATTCTCTATAACTCCGTCGAAATGTGATGTGTGTTTCATTGTTCTACCAATATTAAAATGGTATGTATCCTCAGAAATTAAGGAACATGTTCCTGATACTCGCAGATGTGGAATAAACTCCCTGCAGAAGTCTTTCCTGCAAACAGTAGGACAAAACCAATTCACCACCATCTTCTTTGACGGTGAGTATAAAAATAGTACTTTTTCATTGTCCAGTTGGTACAATTTTGACTACATACCTATTACTATTTTGCACATCCCCAATGAATTTTGTTCAAGTGTTTGCTGGTAGTAGTGGAGTATCTGTGAGTGTTCTTATGGCTGGAGTTACTGAGAAGCTGAAACCATAACGCATTCAGCGTTTGTTTGGACAACAACGAAATCTTAAATACTCAACTCTTTTTTTTTGTTAATCTTTAACACAGACACCGAAGGTTTAGTGTTGGAAAAAAAAGTACGGTTTCACTCTAAAAAGTAAACCGAATCAATAAACAAGTGCGTTGTTGTCGTTGTGTAGTGTCTTTTATTTTCTAAACATTTTATGCAAATTTGAGAAAGAAAAACATATTTTTTTCGAGCGTCAAGAAGAAAAAACATTTTTTACTGGGTTAATAAGTGAGTGAAATTAAATTGCAATTACATGACTAATTTTTATTTGTTATTATTTATTTGTTTATTATTAACATATTTATTTTGTTTTTTGCCAATAAACAACAACAATTTGTATATGAAAACTTATTGTGTTTGTGTGAGTTTGTATAAGTGTGTGGCGTTCATTTGTTTGAGTGTGTATGTTTTTGCGTGCGTTTACTACACGTGGTTTCGAAAAAAAAAACTGCGTCAATTGTTTTCTAAGTTTTCAAAATTATTTTGGACAATTTTTTTTTTTAAATTTTCCAATACATTCACAAATATTTTAATATTTTTGTTGTTTTCAACTGTAATTTGCAGGAAGAAAACAACCAGAATGTTTGTTTTTGTATACATTTTGTTTTGTATAGTTTCAGCAACTACATATCTATGGATCCATTGTGTATTTGAATTTTTTGCGATCTATTTTTAAGTTGTCAACTTTGTAAAAAAAACGTGATTTTTTTCTTAATTATATTAGACAGAACACATTGTTGTTTTCAATCGAAAAAAAAAACTCGTCTGGTTATTTTTGGTTTTTATTTTTTTTTAACAGAATGTATTCTGAAAATGTATTTTAAAGTTTATTAAACTGATAAGCCGGAAGAAAGAAGCATAAATTAATTTAGCTAAAAAAACTATGTAACATAATTTTAGAATTTTTGATAAAATGCGTATTTGTTAAAAATGGCCTTGATAATTTTTTAACATTTAAATCTAATCAGTCTAGCAGTCATTATAAATATGTACCCATTAGTTCCCAGCAAAAAACCTGGTGATGACTTGTATTTACTCAACAAAGTACATTTTAATGATAACTAATTACCGTCTGCATTATTTAGAAGTATTCTAGTAATGACTTGCATGTAATCTGATATATAAGTACTAAATAAAGAACTTATGTGAACATATTAAGTACTTGCATCCAATGTGAACTAGTGAAAAGTGGATTTATTTGCATTTTTAACTCATTAAATTTCGATGTTAGTTTTTCCTGTTCTTTTTTTATACATTAACTTTAATGCGCATTATAAAGTCGACTTTAAAATATTCAAAAAATCGGAAATGTCGAAAAGTTTTCGACCTAAGAAAATAGTCGAAAAAAATCGACTTTTTGTTTCAACTGTAGAATTCTAATATGCATCGATATCGACTAAACCCTGCTTTATCCACATACAAACTTCATACAAATACATATATTGAGATTTCTCTCTCTATAGAATTTGTTATTTGTCAGTTTTTCGTATACCGAAACTTGACATTCAAATCCGATCAAGACCATATCGTAAATCCATAACGATATTCCTCGTTCCGTTTGACTAATAATGCCAGTATAATTTCTAACAGTTTTACGGGAGAATCCACAATGACAAAGGTCATTGTGGATTCTAGACTAAGTTTGAGAAGTCGAAATGCCTTTAAAAATTAGCGCCTTTGAGTGAGCGCTAACTCTCAACTAGTTGTCATGGATAGTTACAGATCTTTCCGATCGCCTTACTTTTTGTTGAGGCAGGCTGTTTATTTCCTGAACTAGCTCCCTTAATATTCTACTTGTCAGGACCCTTAAGACAGCAATTATTCTCATAGAATCCTTCGTGCCTTTGGTGTCAAAAGGTGAATAGTACCCACATTTCTTCAACCTTTACTTTACAAAGTCGGATCATCATCCTCCTTTTTCCAAATGGCTTGTGAGTGAGGCAGTAAAATACCCCGGATCATCTTAACCAGAAATTGTCATTCTTTGTGCTCTCTCCTCCCTTGTTCGACAGGTATTTAAAATAACTCACAACGACCAGCCGAACAAGATAGGTGACTTTAGCGCCATGTAAGCGGCTCTTTTGTATCTTGGTCATACATATAAGCAATTTTTCTGTTTTCCGACTATGAACAGATGTCGAAGAGAAAAAACTCCTCGTCAGAAAACAAAGCAATCTCCTCAAACTTTAAATGACCCAAGTTTTTCCAGAGGTCTCTACTAATCAGGAATGTAATGTAAATATCCTTAAATCAAAACCTTCTAAATAATTTTTCGCCTGGTGTCGACAGGCCTATAAATGGGTCTATTGGCTTATTAGTCTACTGACTATTCTATGAACTAATCTTTTGAATAGTATATGGACTAGTTCGGGAATAGGATATTGGAAAGTCTATTGTCTAATTCATTGACTACTTTATGAACTTTTCTAAGGAATATAATTCAGTCTATTGATAATATTATTGATTAGATCATTGGCAAGTTTGTTGACTACTCTATGCCCATATCCATCTATTGACTACCTTATGGACTAGTCTATTAACTAGATGATTGACTATTCTATAGACTAGTCCATTGACTATTGCATGGACTTGTCTATTAGTTAATCGACTGACTATTCTGTGATCTAGTTTATGGTCTATAGATTACATTACGAACTAATCTACTAAAAGTACTAGAAAAAGTATTGAATTTTGTATACCTGTCATGTTTGAACCATGCCAGTCATGGTTGATAATCATTTCCAATATACATATGTACCACTAAATTTACCATCTCTGTAACAGAGACAAAATAAATCACGGTTCTCTGAAAACTAACAGTGATGCGAAAATAAAAGCAAATAAAGCTTATAAAAGCTTTCATCTCTTACACGTTACTCTACAATTATTCCATTCTCTTTTTTATTCATGATGTAAATAAGAACATATTTTGTCAAATTGTTGAACGTACTTTTGTTGAATTGTTGCTTTTTTTGCCAACAATTTCTTGTACAAAACAATAACAATATTATTAATATTATTGTTTTTACGCTCTAGTCTTGCGCCCTTTTCGTTAGTACAATCAGCTAGAGGAGAAAGACAAAATTATAAAAAAATAATAAAAAAAATGTTGTTTGTATCAGTATTCGCAGTGTAAACCGCGCACAACTAATACAAACAGTTTTTGTAGTTTTTGAAAAAATTCAATACAAATTAAATTTTGTAAAAAATAAAAGTGAAAACACGAAAAAGTCTCATTTCAAAAACATTTTTCGCTATTGAATTCTTGACAGAGGTCATGAACGGTCACAATTTCTAAACACAATCCAACAAACTACCAAACCAACCGATACTTAAGATAAATGTACAAAAAGTGTTGTTGAATTAAGTTCATAATAATCAAAAAAAAAAAAATTAATTTAAAACAAAACAAAAATTCATTCACTTTTAATCAGGTTTGGAATTTACGAAATGCCTGGACGCATGGATACTGATGAAAATGGTTAGTGGAAAATTTTGTAATTTTTTTTTTTGGTGTTTTTTTCTAAGTTAATTTGTTTAATTATTTGTGTACAGCTGGTAGTTAAAGAATAAATACATCCAAGTATCTCTATATACAGTTTTGTGTGTTTTGCCTGTGAAAATATTTGTTTTAAATTAAATTATGAGGTTCTTCCTCCACGAGAGTTGCATTCATTCACTCATACACAATTTGCATTTTGGCGCTTAAGAGATTTGAAAATTCTATGCAATTTTCTCGTTTATAAATAAACACGTGTTTGTCTGACAGTGTGCTTTCTGTGAAAGCATTGTGATTGAGTGCATTTCTTTAAAACTCGCTCTCTTAAAGCAGAGCTCAGTGGCGTTCTCAACTAAAGGGGAAAGGGGTGCTATTTGAGATAACCTCGTGTAAATTGTTGCTAATCTTGAACTGTTGTCCTTTCGACAAGTGTTTATTGAAATTAAATCGTTGTTATCAGTGTTTTTTCTGCGGTCTTATCTCATTCTGTATTATAGGTTTAATCATTCCAAATGTTGCTATATGTATACATACCTAGTACCCCCAGTGACGTGTTTTATAAAAATTTTGTAAATATTTGTCTCGTTATGCTTCAATACGTGTACTGATACTAGACTAAGTTCAAAGGTGTTACCAATGGAAGATTTAAAGTATTTATTTGAAAATAATACGAATTGTTTTGAATTATTTATTAATGACTAGCTATACCCAGTGTGCTTTGCTACCCTAAAAGCAATATGTATAAATAAAAAGCCCACTTAACGATTTTGAAGATTCTAACTACAATAGTTTTCCAGATTTACAATATGTTACATATAAGAGATATCAAACAAATTATTGCAAGTTCGCCTGTTTTTATCTATCGCCAATTTCTATCTATCTATAAAAAATTTGAATAATATAAGAGTTTCCAAGATGCACGAAATTTTGTAATTAATTCATATATGTTGTGCCAAGCCACCCATTGAAAGTCCGCCCGTTATGCTCTAAATGTTCACACGAATTTCAAAGTTCTCCATGTAAAATTTGAAGATTCTAGCTGTAATAGTTTCTCAGATATACGAATTTTTCTATTTGATTCATGTGGGGGCTTCAAGACCCCCCAGATGAAAGTCCGCTTTTTTTCCTCCAAAATGTTCAGATGAATATTTAAGTTCTTCGTGCGAAATTTGAAGAATTTAGTTCCATTAGTTTTCCAGATAAACGAATTTTTGTCTTTAATTAATATGGGAGTCCGCCAATTTATTACACAAAATGTTTAGATGGATGTTAAAGTTTTTCGTGCAAAATTTGAAGATTCTAACTGTAAGAGTTTCCAAGATAAACGTATTTTTGTTTTTAATTTATATGGGAGGTGCCACGCCCCCTAATTATAGTCCGCCTACTTTTTGTCCTAAATAATTATATTGACACTAAAGTTGCTCCGACAAAATTTGAGGACTCTAACTGTTATATTATCTAAAATATACGGATTTAATATTTTCTTAATATGGGCGTGGCTCCTCGCCCACTTGGAATTTCAAAATAAAAAGTAGCCTATTACCTATTCCAGACATACAGGAATACGCTGTGAAAATTTGAATAAAATCGGTTCAGCCGTTTAGTAGTCTATAACGTTCAAACATACAAACATATAAACATACAAACAAACACACATTAATTTTTATATATATAGATGATGAAATAATTAGACATCGAATGTTCAATATTCTGTTTTTCTGTATTGCAAAAATAAATGTGATTGGACTTTTAATATTCCTATTTTTAAGTGATTAAATTAAATTCGTTAAAAACATGTGTTTTTTCTGAAATTGTTTAGGCTCTTTTATCCTTAAAAAGTTTGGAAACCAAAGTATTAAAAAATTCTACAAAATATAAAGTTTTGTTCCAAAATCATCAAATTTAAACAAATTTTATTTAAAATGGCTTATATCTCGAAATAGATTCAGCCGCTATCAATTATTTTAACAGTTTTATCAAAATCAGTCTAAATTTTAAAGAAATTATTGTAAGATATTGAAAGTTTTGTATTCGGCAACATTAATTAGTTTTCTTTAAAAATTATATCAAAAATATTAGCTTGTTTGCTGAATATTTCGCTAATTACAAAGACCAACAAATTGTTAAACAATAGACCAAAGCATTCTTTTTTAAACTATTGAGCTGTGCTGAATCCGAATATCGGACCTTTTAAAAGCTTGAAGAAGTATTTGTTTTTAAAATCTATTATATATTATCATCTGAAAGTAAAATCTGCGAACTTAAAAAGAAATGTTATATATATAGTTTTCTTCGAGATATCCCAAGCTTCAGGTTGAGACAAACATAAATTTACACAAATTTACTACAAACTTACATTTGTCATAATTTTTCCTATAAAAATACTTTTTCAGCAGTTTAAAAATCGTTTGTATTCGCTAAATAACGTGGAAAAAAAGAAGAATATATGACAGATCGGACTATAAGATGATAAAACATACATATTTTATTAACAAAAATAACTCAATGCTGTAATTTTTCAAATTTTAGCACAATATATCTTGAAACCTCTTGTAATGGAGAAATTCTGAGGCCAGATTCGAGTTAAACTCTGCTTAATTCTTTAAAAAAGAGAACATAGTTGTGGTTAATAGAAAGATGTTTAATACGAAGGAATAAACCACTGTTAGGGAACTGGAATAACATTGCTACTAAGATAAAAATTTGGATCTAATTTCGACTATTCACATTTGTCTGAATTGATTCTTTCAATTTTGTATAGTTGTGCCCATAAACCTGAATGTCCACTAAGAATACATACCTTCAAACTAACCTCGGACTTATTCATTCTGAAATGGCTTTTCGCAAGGCTCTCGTTGTAATTGTTCCTCTATAAAGAATTAAATAAAACTAAACATTCTCTAGACCGGTTTCCTTCGTCCCCTAAGCTCCATATATTAACACTTAAAAAATAATCTCTAAGTAGAAAGTTCGGAAAAGTTTGTTTTTACTATAATTTTATTGTTTATGATTTGCTCTTTACTGTATTTATTTTTTATTCTTAAAAATAATTTTATCTTTTACATAATTCTACAATGCGGAAGTAAAACAACACATTAAATAATTTAAAAATAAAAAAACCTCACAAATTATATTAACTTAAAAACAAAAATAAATCGAAATTTTTAGTAATACTTATAGAAAAGACAACAGAACTAAAAATAAGAGAAAATAGCAAAAATCTAGTGTCAAAAATTTAATTAATGCGAATGTATGTATATGTATATTCACGTAATTTGTTTTTGACGTTAGGCGTATATGTGAAAATTCATACAATTTTCAATTCGTAATAATTTTTTGTTACAGTGTTAATCCAAATAATAACTACTTGACGTTCGTTGAACTGATAAACTAATGTTCTTGAAAATGTTAAGTTTGATTTTGAAAAATTTCCAGTTACATTTTTCCCTTTCATTTTATACAAGTAAATTACATGTTGCTTTTAAATTTAGTACCTGTTGCCAGGTATATCGTTTTTTTTTTGTAATTGGTATTTTTTATTAGCCGTATCTGATGAGTTTTTTTCTAAAGTCATAAAAAAATTAAGATGAAAAGTGTTACCGAAAATGTTTTTAGTGGGAAATCTTTATAAAATACCCATTTAGTTATTCTTCTTTTTACGTCAAGCATAGTAATGTTCTGTAAAATTATTTTTTCCGTAAATGTATAACATCATTTTCATTTCTTAAAGTTATCAAATTAATTTATTTTCCAATGGACTGAGGCTATAACTTCTTTACTTTTCGACATTAATGCCCCATCCAATGTTGTTGAACCTAACTCTCATCATGGAAAGACATCTTTTATAAGTTTTTCTATGGTCTATATATAATTAATCCGTTTTAAAATATGTTTGAGTGTCAAGCAATTATCTAATTTTTTTTAATTGTATTATTTAAAAAAACATTAATTCTTTAGCATTTATAACAAGTATACTTTCTTTTTAATTGCCGTTTATTCCCAAGTGGCCTGGTAGCTATGTGATACAGAGCTAATCACGGGAAGAATGTTTAGTTATAGCACTTTACAGCCCAAACGGAATTAGACTTAACCTTATCAGCTGTTATCGCTGTTAGCTTCATATGCAATTCAATATATTTTATATATTCCGCGATAGCACGGGATTTCGCTTCGATGCTATTGTGTAGACGGCAGTATATCTCGTTTTCCATGTAGATCCGTAGACTCGTTTTATCTTCCCGCTTAGAGTCACCCGCTCAAACTGCCGCAGAAGCTTTCTCTAACATTCCTGTTGACAAAAATCTACTATCTGGGATCAATGTTTCACAGTTCCTGACAATTTCTGTTTCTTATATGCGATTGAGTCTGTCTGGTATTTGTGTATAACCGTCCAATATATCCAATATACATTAATGACGTTTCCTGGTTAATTCGGTCAAATATTTTACATACATACGTTTCGATTGAGAGAATATTCAGCAATGTTTACAGAGATTCGTTTTACTTATAAGTTAGAATTTGTCTAATTACTCTTTAATAAAGCAATGACCCCATTTCGACCCAATATTAATATGCTTTGTTGGTTCTATGCTAAATACATATGTATGTGATAGGTATTTCCATTTACAATCAAGGATTACACTTTTTTAAACCTGTCGTTCACTAATATCGCCTGTCCAGGAACGTAGGTCCAGTATAGTCTGGAATTTTCTCTTTCTTGTGGGCCTCCTTGGACCACCAGCATTATTAATTTGCACCTAAGTACTTATAAAGGAGTTCAAAGACTGGTATATAGACTAGAAATATTGAAATGGAGTAAATGTCAAACTCTTTACGACATTCTCATTTGACGACTAATCTTTTCAAATAGTAACTTTTATCAATTTTATAGATTCATATTTGATACAATTCGATCATTAGAAGTACAACGGTATACCAATGACCCGATCCGGATTAAAATTATAATCTTTAAAGTGCAACTTCAACAGACGTTTGAAGTAGTACTTTTTACTAGACTATGAGCTAGTCTGAAGACTTTTCAATGGTCTAGTATATTAACTAGTCTTGAGACTAGTCTATGAATTAATTATTGGACTATTCTCTAGACCTGAAGTTTTTTGATTGTGTTAGTAAAAAAAACTCACACCGCATATATACATGTGAGTTTTTTCACTAACTCAATAAAAAAACTTACCATTTGAGTCAAACAATTTTGATGTGTGGCCGTGTCGCTTTAGTATTATCTCTAGTATATAGATTTGTTATTAACTAGTATATAGACTAAATGAACTTATTAATTGATTAATCTATGGACTAGTGTGCCTTCGCTGGGTTACTGCTCTAGTCTGTTAAACCAGAGTTCACGGGTTCAATTCCAACCAGAGTAGGGCTCTATAAATAGATTTTAAGTAGGGTTCTATAATAATAATCGAACAATCGACTTTTTGTCGAAAAAAGTCGAAGTCGACTATTTTGTTCCAAAAAAGTCGATAACTCGACTATGGTCTGTGAAAAAAGTCGAAAAGTCGACTTGGTTAATAAAAGTCTGAAAGTCGAAAAATTCGATAAGTCGATAAGTCGAATAAAGTCGAAAAAAGTCGAAGAAAGTCGAAAAGTCGTAAAAAGTCGAAAAGTCGGAAAAGTTGAAAACTCGAAAATTGTAGAAACAAGTCAAAAATAGTCGAAAATCTTAAAAAAGTTGAAAAAAAAGTAAAAAACTCTAATATAGTCGGAAAAACTTGAAAAAAGTCAAAAAATAGTCGAAAAGTCGAGAAAAGTCGAAAAGTCGACTATTTATAAAATACTTATAGTCGAAAAGTGGACTTTTAATTAAATGAAAAAAGTCGAAAAATCGACTTTTCACAAAATGCAAAAAGTCGAGAAGTCGAAAAGTCGACTTTTAACTAAATGAAAAAAGTCGAAAAGTCGACTTTCCGTTTCAACTATAGAACCCTAATTTTAAGCTAATCGAAGAGTTGACTTTTTGTCGTAACAAAGTCGAAAAGACGACTATCTGGTAAATAAAAGGTCGAAGAATCGATTTTGCAAATAAAAGCTTTTTTCTTCAATTTAAAATTTCCATTTGCCATCCCTGTTTGTAAATAATCTTAAACCATGAAATAATATATAACCACGCCACTGTTTAACTCTAAGATATAAATATAAATTTGTATCTACCGGCATTTTAAAAACCTTCAAAATCTTTCCGAGAGTTTATCTCACTGCTTTTTCGCTAAAGCTTAAACTTTAAGAGTAAACAGAGAATAAAAAAACTTTAAACATTTTATCACATGGGGTTGTTAAAAGCTTACTAAGAAAACTTTAACACATTGAACTAAAGAAGAATCGACAAAACAAACCCCCACTAACTTAAAAGAAACTTACAGAATACGAAAAAATAAAACGAAGAAAAACACCAACACTTGTAGAGAATCAAAAAACAAAACGCAAAACAACAACAAACCACCTAACAGATACAACTCACAGTGTAACACACAAACATTTTTATAGAGACAAATTAGTAGAAAATTAAATAATGAAAAAGAGATAAAAAATTGACTCGTTTTAATAGAGTGCTTTTCTTTTAGAATGTAAGAGAATTTTGAGTGAAAGAGTATAATTTTGAAAAAAATTAAAATTTTCTACCTACTAGGGCACTACTACCAATAAATTAAACTCATACTAACATAGAATTAAGAGAAAAAATACTATTGTTGTTGTTATTATTGTTGTTGCTCATATGGCTTTTTGTTGTTTTTATTAATGTGTTTTTTATATTTTTTTTTGTAAAATATATAAAAACTTGTACTCGTAGATTGTGTGATGCCAGTTCGATCTGCTAATCCGATACGCGCAAAAAGTTTGATACGCGACAATTTGGAGAAACAAGCCTTAATAAATTCATTACACTCCAGAATGCCAAACATTAAAGTGTTTTCGGGTACATCGCATCCGGATTTGGCCCAAAGAATTGTCGACCGTTTGGGTATCGATTTGGGCAAAGTCGTAACGAAAAAATTCAGTAATTTGGAAACATGGTGAGTAAAAATTAAAAAAAAACTAAAATAAAAAATGGAAAAAATCGAAAACAAAGCAGAAAATGGAAAATTTAACAAAGAAAAAAGTGAATAAAAAACTCAATAAATATTAGTGAATATAATAAGAAAATTATAAAAATTTATAAAAAAAAATTTAAAGAAAAAAAGTGTGTAAACTAGAAAAAAAATTATACAAAGAAGAAGAAAAAATCTTAAAAACACGTGAACATTTAGCAATTGAAAAAATATATGTGTTGGAGCGTATGTGTGTATATTAGAGTTTTTGTGTATGTGAGAGACTGTGTTAAAAAAATATTGTTGTTTTTGTTGCTATTACTGTCAAACTGACAAACCAAAAAAGCACATGCAAACAATTTATCATACCAACAAAATAAACGACAGGCAGTAGAGTGAAATTTATTTAATTATTTATAATATTTTCTTTAAAACTAAATGGACAATTTAATTATAGAAGAAAAAGTATAAATTGTCTTTTAAATGAGAGACCCAGCAAACGTTTTGCAGTTTGTTTTTGTTGTTCTTGTTAATCATAACAACAAATACACTTGCACAATGGCCTGCATAATGCACAAACACAATCAGACAGACAGAGCCACTTTTTAGCGTCAAGGATGTCTGTTGCCTTTGCCAAAGACTAAAGAAAACACAAGGTGTTTGTTGTCTTCTTTTACCTTACTTTCCATCATCAAGTTATAAGTAACAGAATCAATGATAAAGGGAGGAGCTGTAGGGTTTTGGTATGGTAAAAGGTTCTGTTCTGTTTTGTGTATTGTGTTGTGGTTGTATTTGTTGTCATATTGATTTAATTCATTCATTTTCTTATTATTTTTTATTATTATTCTCTACATCATTATTGACTGTACCTACTGTTATTAATTGTAAAGAAAAAACAAAATGCCTGTAAAAGAAACAATTGTTCTTTGTTAATTTTTTACTACCTTAACAAATCACTCCCTTTCTACTCTGTTACCATAAAACCATCCTCCCTTGCCCTTCCTTTTACCTTTTAAACTATCAACAATTGGTTTAAAATGGGTACTTAGTTTAACAATTTGTTTAATTTTACTATTAATTAGATTAGCAAGACGAGAATTTATGCCACCATACAATGGAATTAAAAGAAATTTAAAAAAGGTGTGAAAAATACTGTAAATTGTAATAACGAACCAAACAAAACAACCAGCAACAACAAAAACTTTGTAAGAAAAAAAAAAACTGCCAAAAATCATGTGCTTTTTTCGGTGTAGAAATCACACAACAAACAAATAATAACCAAAAATAATTTATCATAATTTGTCTGCTGAAAAATTATAAATTTTTTATCATTTTTTAAAAAACATGCCTACATTTTTTGGGTTTTTGTTTTTTAGAGGTTATAAAATACATTTTTTTCTTAATTGTTAACAATTTGGCGTTTTTTTCGCCAGCAATTAAGTGCTTTTTAGTGGGCGTTTTAAAATTTAAATTGTGAAAACATCTGTGAGATGGATATTAATTAATTATCAAGAAGTTGAAAGTTAGATGGTGTAAATTAAATATAAACAACTGTTAGAACCTCATGACTACTGACAGCTGTCAATTTCAATATTTTAAATACTTCCCCAAAATGAAGCTTAGAATGGAGTTATGAAAGCTACAGTACCGTATAGAAGAAGCAAAGATGTGGGATATACATTTGTCATAACTTTTAAGACATCGATCAGTTTCAGGGTATTGGTATAGATCTGCTACATTCGAACCGATAATATAAAAGAAGATCTATTAGAATCTTTTCCGTTAAATGATGTAAGGAATCGCACCACTTAATGCCTCTTAAGGTATTTTCAGACTACAATACTGAGTATTAACACACTTCAAATTAAAAATATTATGAAAATAATTCGCATTTTCAAAAAATCAATCCGAAAAATACATTTTATGTTTACACTATAATATTTGTAATATTTTTTATCCAATTTTCAATTATTTATGCACTTTTCGTTCTTATTTTTAATGTATTTTACAATTTTTGTTTGTTTTTTATTGTATTTATAAAATACATCCCGAATACGTTTGAAAATAAAAAGTTTTTGAATTGTTTTAAAAAATTTATGAATACCGACCGTATGCCAAAAAAAATCAGTAATATTTTTGAAAATCAAATTACAAATTATATTTAGACTAGTAAATTGTATTATGATACAAACATTTTTGACAAGTATTAATACTCAGTATTGTAGTCTAAAAATACCTTTAGTATGTCTACATTTGAAACTCTATTAAAATACATACAAATTCTAAGACCAGTTGAAAATCTGCTGAAGCAAGCCAAGCATTTAAAGTTTAAATGCTTGGATGTTCTGCAAGAATGGCAGAGTATAGGGAGTATCGCCACTTTTACAATATGTAAATATTTTTTTTTGAAGTCATACAAAGCCGTAATGTTAGGGCAATGAAATATTGCTAAATAAAAGCCTAATTTTCGCATGATGTTGCGCATCTGTCGGAATTTTAATGAATCTAACGCTCAGATCTGACTAAATTTCGGAGCAAGTTCTTATTACCTTTGAGCTAAATTAGAATCAGAAAAGAATTCAAGATTTAGTCTCAAAAAGAATTGGATCTTAATTCCAATGCATTCTCTAATGCATTCATAACCTATTCCAAATTATACAACTTCCAGTGCATGAGACATCAGGGAGAAAGCGAAATTTCCGTCTAGTGACTATTATACGATATGATCTTTGATAGAAAAGGCTCTTTAAAGTTTTGATAAGTATTCTTCCAGGACATAAAGATAAATGTAGCGCAAAATGTTTTTTGAATTCCTTTGATTTACGATGGATCGCCAAACTAAAGCCTTGGGAGATTACTCCTTATTCGATTCGAAAGAAAGTGATTTCGCTATTGCTTTTGAAACGTGAAAACGTCTTTTTACAGTTGTGATAAGTATTCTTAAGGTTGTTTCAAAAGAAAAAGGGGCTTCTAACAAAAAACTGGAAAGAAAAAGTTATAACAACTAAACATTTTGTATGACAACTTCATCCCAAAATTGTTTTTTGCCTATTGCTGCAAAATTTTTGAAATTTATAATCACATAAGCTCAAAATTACAACAGCAAATTGACAACACTTATTTTTATTATTTGTTTTTTATTTGCGCTCAGATTCAATACAGTAAGAAAAAATGTATATATTTTATTATATAGTATTTTTTACTTCCTTTGCTTCAGTTTATGTTTTTTTTTTTTCAAAACTCTTTAATAATGCGCGCGCATTTCTAATATTCTCTTTATTGCGCTCTATCTCATTCTCTTTATTGCAATTAAAGTTTGTATCATATGTTAAATAGTAAAGGTATTTATTGTTGTTTTTAAAAAGTATGAATGAGTTAAATAATATTTTGAAAAGAAAAACATAAAATAAAGAATAAATAGGGGAGATGGGTGAAAAGTATCGAAGAACAATAACGGTTAATTGATGGTCAGTCATTTTCTCGGTTACATTGTAGATTTGAAATGTCATCATATAATATGACAATTGAAATGACAGAAAGATTAAAGTATAGAATGATGTGATATATAAACTAAGTAGGCCAATTTGTGGAAAGCTGAACCGAAAGGAACTTTTTTTGAATCACTCAAGCCAGCAATAGTTGAGACTACTCCGTACTCGCTTGCAAAGAGTACTCCGTAAAGGACCAGGACTGGTTCAAAACAAATTTAATTATATGAAAGAAACATGTACCATTTAACGTTGCGATGTCCTAGGCGACGACCACATAAACAAACTAATCCCAAAACTGTTCCTTTACATGATCCACAACATGGTCCTATGTAATTCAGGCTATTCAAAAAGAACGAACATGGCCCATACCTGCCTGCTTGCTTGAATTTGTTACGGCTGACTAGTGCGTCCCAATATTTCAGAAAGTGTTATCTATTGGAATGCTTGGAAATGTACAACAGTTACCATTTCTCTCAGATTCTTATCACTAGTTGTAAGAATATCATATTTTGATACAACCTGAAGTGTTCTTTAAAATCCCACACAGAGATTCCTGAAATATCAGATTCCTGGCTTTAGGAAGTTCCAGAAGCTATGATTGCTTAATAAGAGTATATTTAGAATATTAACGGGATGATTTACTATAGTTTATAACTAATTGATACTAACCAAAATCTACTTGGAAAGTTTATTGGTTTCCGTACTATAGGTATCATATAAAACAAGTTTTTAACCCAATACAAAAATAATCTCTAACCTTTTTCTCTATTAAATAAAACCAAATCATCTAAAAACATGTGGTTTCGAAAAAAACTCAAAAAAAAATATTAAAATAAATTTTGTATACATACATGTGTATACAAATAGGTATAGTTTTTTTTTAACAATTTACCTCCAACATTGCGTTTTACATACATATACTGAGAACAAGAGTATATACATAAATATTTATTTAATTTTTATGTTTTTTTCTAACAAATAAATGTAGACAATCCCATAGAAACCATATGACTGGATAGATAGTAGTTTACTTGTCTTTCTTGCTATATCTTTCAATGTTTTGATTTGGCTTCAAGCCAATCGAAAAGAAAGAAATATTCAGACATACATACATACCTACAACATTTTTAAACATTTTAAAGAAATAAAAGAACAATCAAACAATATTTCTACTTGAAATACAAATGCGACACATGAAAATGCTCTATACAGATAAAGAATATAATCGGAGAATCTATTTATTATTGGGTTTCTATAAAAAAACGAAAAGGCTGAATAGAAAGAAATAAAAAACAATAACAAAAACAGCTGATTTAAAAGAAAAAAACACTGGCCCCTTTTTTGCTTTTTTTAAATGAATTAATAAAATTTTTACTACGCGTTTAAATATTGTTTGTATATTTAGCTAGCAAGACGACCAACAACTTGCCAGTCAATAACCTAAACAAATTTTATATTATCATCATCAAATATCGCCAGAAATTGTGTGTGACA